AAACATCTGTTGGTCACAATGTCAATTATGTTCAGGCTACACCAAACATCTCTTGGTCAAAATGTCAATTATGTCCAGGCTACAACAAACATCTCTTGGTCAAAATGTTAGTTATGTCCACGCTACACCAAACATCTCTTGGTCAAAATGTTAGTTATGTCCACGCTACACCAAACATCTCTTGGTCACAATGTCAATTATGTCCAGGCTACAACAAACATCTGTTGGTCAAAATGTCAGTTATGTCCAGGCTACACCAATCATATGTTGGTCACAATGTCAATTATGTCCAGGCTACAACAATCATCTCTTGGTCAAAATGTCAGTTATGTCCAGGCTACAACAAACATCTCTTGGTCAAAATGTCAGTTATGTCCAGGCTACACCAAACATCTGTTGGTCACAATGTCAATTATGTCCAGGCTACAACAAACATCTCTTGGTCAAAATGTCAGTTATGTCCAGGCTACAACAAACATCTCTTGGTCAAAATGTTAGTTATGTCCAGGCTACACCAAACATCTGTTGGTCAAAATGTCAATTATGTCCAGGCTACACCAATCATCTGTTGGTCACAATGTCAATTATGTCCAGGCTACACCAAACATCTGTTGGTCACAATTTCAATTATGTCCAGGCTACACCAATCATATGTTGGTCACAATGTCAATTATGTCCAGGCTACAACAAACATCTGTTGGTCACAATGTCAGTTATGTCCAGGCTACACCAAACATATCTTGATCAAAATGTCAGTTATGTCCAGGCTACACTAAACATCTGTTGGTCACAAAGTCAATTATGTCCAGGCTACACCAAACATCTGTTGGTCAAAATGTCAGTTATGTCCAGGCTACACCAATCATATGTTGGTCACAATGGCAATTATGTCCAGGCTACAACAAACATCTCTTGGTCAAAATGTCAGTTATGTCCAGGCTACAACAAACATCTGTTGGTCACAATGTCAATTATGTCCAGGCTACACCAAACATCTGTTGGTCAAAATGTCACAATGTCAATTATGTCCAGGCTACACCAAACATCTGTTGGTCAAAATGTCAGTTATGTCCAGGCTACAACAAATATCTGTTGGTCACAATGTCAGTTATGTCCAGGCTACAACAAACATTCGTTGGTCAAAATGTCAGTTATGTCCAGGCTACACCAATCATATGTTGGTCACAATGGCAATTATGTCCAGGCTACACCAAACATCTCTTGGTCAAAATGTCAGTTATGTCCAGGCTACACCAAACATCTGTTGGTCACAATGTCAATTATGTCCAGGCTACAACAAACATCTGTTGATCACAATGTCAGTTATGTCCAGGCTACACCAATCATATGTTGGTCACAATGGCAATTATGTCCAGGCTACAACAAACATCTGTTGGTCAAAATGTCAGTTATGTCAAGGCTACACCAAACATCACTTGGTCAAAATGTCAGTTATGTCCAGGCTACACCAAACATCTCTTGGTCAAAATGTCAATTATGTCCAGGCTACAACAAACATCTGTTGGTCACAATGTCAATTATGTTCAGGCTACACCAAACATCTCTTGGTCAAAATGTCAATTATGTCCAGGCTACAACAAACATCTCTTGGTCAAAATGTTAGTTATGTCCACGCTACACCAAACATCTCTTGGTCAAAATGTTAGTTATGTCCACGCTACACCAAACATCTCTTGGTCACAATGTCAATTATGTCCAGGCTACAACAAACATCTGTTGGTCAAAATGTCAGTTATGTCCAGGCTACACCAATCATATGTTGGTCACAATGTCAATTATGTCCAGGCTACAACAATCATCTCTTGGTCAAAATGTCAGTTATGTCCAGGCTACAACAAACATCTCTTGGTCAAAATGTCAGTTATGTCCAGGCTACACCAAACATCTGTTGGTCACAATGTCAATTATGTCCAGGCTACAACAAACATCTCTTGGTCAAAATGTCAGTTATGTCCAGGCTACAACAAACATCTCTTGGTCAAAATGTTAGTTATGTCCAGGCTACACCAAACATCTGTTGGTCAAAATGTCAATTATGTCCAGGCTACACCAATCATCTGTTGGTCACAATGTCAATTATGTCCAGGCTACACCAAACATCTGTTGGTCACAATTTCAATTATGTCCAGGCTACACCAATCATATGTTGGTCACAATGTCAATTATGTCCAGGCTACAACAAACATCTGTTGGTCACAATGTCAGTTATGTCCAGGCTACACCAAACATATCTTGATCAAAATGTCAGTTATGTCCAGGCTACACTAAACATCTGTTGGTCACAAAGTCAATTATGTCCAGGCTACACCAAACATCTGTTGGTCAAAATGTCAGTTATGTCCAGGCTACACCAATCATATGTTGGTCACAATGGCAATTATGTCCAGGCTACAACAAACATCTCTTGGTCAAAATGTCAGTTATGTCCAGGCTACAACAAACATCTGTTGGTCACAATGTCAATTATGTCCAGGCTACACCAAACATCTGTTGGTCAAAATGTCACAATGTCAATTATGTCCAGGCTACACCAAACATCTGTTGGTCAAAATGTCAGTTATGTCCAGGCTACAACAAATATCTGTTGGTCACAATGTCAGTTATGTCCAGGCTACAACAAACATTCGTTGGTCAAAATGTCAGTTATGTCCAGGCTACACCAATCATATGTTGGTCACAATGGCAATTATGTCCAGGCTACAACAAACATCTCTTGGTCAAAATGTCAGTTATGTCCAGGCTACAACAAACATCTGTTGGTCACAATTTCAACTATGTCCAGGCTACACCAATCATATGTTGGTCAAAATGTCAATTATGTCCAGGCTACAACAAACATCTGTTGGTCACAAAGTCAATTATGTCCAGGCTACACCAAACATCTGTTGGTCAAAATGTCAGTTATGTCCAGGCTACACCAATCATATGTTGGTCACAATGTCAATTATGTCCAGGCTACACCAAACATCTGTTGGTCAAAATGTCAGTTATGTCCAGGCTACAACAAACATCTGTTAGTCACAATGTCAATTATGTCCAGGCTACAACAAACATCTGTTGGTCAAAATGTCAGTTATGTCCAGGCTACACCAATCATATGTTGGTAACAATGGCAATTATGTCCAGGCTACAACAAACATCTCTTGGTCAAAATGTCAGTTATGTCCAGGCTACAACAAACATCTGTTGGTCACAATTTCAATTATGTCCAGACTACACCAATCATATGTTGATCACAATGTCAATTATGTCCAGGCTACACCAAACATCTCTTGGTCAAAATGTCAGTTATGTCCAGGCTACACCAATCATATGTTGGTCACAATGGCAATTATGTCCAGGCTACACCAAACATCTGTTGGTCAAAATGTCAGTTATGTCCAGGCTACACCAATCATATGTTGGTCACAATGGCAATTATGTCCAGGCTACAACAAACATCTCTTGGTCAAAATGTCAGTTATGTCCAGGCTACAACAAACATCTGTTGGTCACAATGTCAATTATGTCCAGGCTACACCAAACATCTGTTGGTCAAAATGTCACAATGTCAATTATGTCCAGGCTACACCAAACATCTGTTGGTCAAAATGTCAGTTATGTCCAGGCTACACCAATCATATGTTGGTCACAATGTCAATTATGTCCAGGCTACACCAAACATCTGTTGGTCAAAATGTCAGTTATGTCCAGGCTACAACAAATATCTGTTGGTCACAATGTCAGTTATGTCCAGGCTACAACAAACATTCGTTGGTCAAAATGTCAGTTATGTCCAGGCTACACCAATCATATGTTGGTCACAATGGCAATTATGTCCAGGCTACAACAAACATCTCTTGGTCAAAATGTCAGTTATGTCCAGGCTACAACAAACATCTGTTGGTCACAATTTCAACTATGTCCAGGCTACACCAATCATATGTTGGTCAAAATGTCAATTATGTCCAGGCTACAACAAACATCTGTTGGTCACAATGTCAATTATGTCCAGGCTACACCAAACATCTCTTGATCAAAATGTCAGTTATTTCCAGGCTACACTAAACATCTGTTGGTCACAAAGTCAATTATGTCCAGGCTACACCAAACATCTGTTGGTCAAAATGTCAGTTATGTCCAGGCTACAACAAACATCTGTTGGTCAAAATGTCAATTATGTCCAGGCTACAACAAACATCTCTTGGTCAAAATGTCAGTTATGTCCAGGCTACACCAATCATATGTTGGTCACAATGGCAATTATGTCCAGGCTACAACAAACATCTCTTGGTCAAAATGTCAGTTATGTCCAGGCTACAACAAACATCTGTTGGTCACAATTTCAATTATGTCCAGACTACACCAATCATATGTTGATCACAATGTCAATTATGTCCAGGCTACACCAAACATCTCTTGGTCAAAATGTCAGTTATGTCCAGGCTACACCAATCATATGTTGGTCATAATGGCAATTATGTCCAGGCTACAACAAACATCTGTTGGTCACAATGTCAATTATGTCCAGGCTACACCAAACATCTGTTGGTCAAAATGTCAATTATGTCCAGGCTACACCAAACATGCCTCCGTGAAAATGTGTTGTATTTGATATTGAAGCCAAAATCGGGATATGTTATAATCTGGCGATGATGAAAATGGATGTTGCATTGAACGTAATCCACTAACAATAACGATTGTGTTACTTAATTTCGGTTAGATCAAGTTATATTTGATATAAGGCAGCAACATTTCAGACTTCTAGGTTCGCGGTGACAGAAAACATCCGCTTTATACAAAGTGTACAAATAGCGGTAGACCTACAAACATCAACAAAAATCTCAAATGTATTGCATCAGTAAACACACATACATCAGGAAACCACTTAAACTTTAAAGACAAACGAGGATTTTGAAACGTACACTTTATTTAGAATCTAAAGTACCAATATAATAGATCATTGGCGTCGTTGAAATGAAGTCACATGACACCTGCTGCTAGTAGTATCTCCGCGATCCTTGTACATCGAGATCCTGAGACGCATGCGCCCTGTCGTTGGAAAGGTAACGGAAGCCTGGAATAAAAACCAAATTCAGCCTTTTATAAAATGTTTTAGACTATGAACTACATATACAAATTATTATTTTAGTGCATTTTTGCCAGTGAAATATAGATAATTGTCTCATTGATAAAAGTGCGATTTTTTACTCACTTTTGCAAACGTGCGCCAATGAAAAGAGAGAACACATATCACCTTATAAAACTGACAAATCACATAGCCCCATGCAAAAAAGCATAAACCAGAAACCTGCATGGGTTGGTTACTAGTAACACGACAATCAATTCCATGATAAATTTCATTTCCATGAAAGTTATCAAACAATGCAGCGCAAATGGCCTTATCAGAGATCAAACCCAATCCCCAAACACACTTCTTGAATGTGGAGCTAATACATTAGACATTTCAAGGGCATTCGTGCCATCAACAGTGACAGATGTAAGGTGCCGTCGTATTTTCAGCCGCGTAGTAACTTGACACAGGTTAAACTCTCTCTGAACGCTTTACTGCAAATTTTGTCTGTTATTGACGTGAATAAATAACATTTTCTGAAGGAATAAAAAGAAATTTATATTGAAATCTGCTTTTGTGCTTCCTCGTTTGATATCTGTTCTAAACATGCCAGCAGTTCGGCTATTTTGCTTGTGAAAATGTGACAAATAGAAAATTCAATAGTGTCTTCAGTAATAACAAATATGTTTCCCTCGTGTGTCTGAGAATTTTTGTAACTTACACAAGTGAAAGATACAGAAATAATAGATCGACGAGGTAAAGCTATTTGTTATTACTGACGACACTATAAACTATCCTCTGTTTCTTCTGATACTGACTTTTCTCTGCTTTTAAGTGGTCAGGATATTTTGATAGAATTAATCATAAACATACTATTGTCAAGTCTTTAGCGGCCACTGAAGAACGAGTTTCTAAAACACTCAATTTTACAATTTAACAAATGATGATGAAACCAAATAGACCCAATATTATTGATTATGGATGATAAGGGCATTGTTTTTGTAGGTTTCTGATATTGGCATCTAAAAAAATACAATCACAATAAATAATGATAATAATAAATAAAAAAATTAAAGGAAAGAATTTACAAATAGTCTGTGTATCATTTGATTTATTTTATCTTCCCTGTCGATAATTCTATGTGTATATCCCTGATAGTTTGGGTATGATCAATATGACAATATATAGTAGATTCTCAATGATTATTGTTATATCTGACCTACACGAGGAGACCTCACAGAGGGATATATATATTATATGTATACTATTTCATAAGTGAAGAGAATGAACATTATGTTAGAACCAAATCATTATTGTAATCATAGTTTTGCGTCTAGCGACAAATATTTGTCACCTAAGATTTCAATCGTTACTTGGTGTCTCATTTCGATAAAGGTCAGTTCATATTACACAATAACATACGTTATTCCCGACGTTTTAATGACACAGACATCAATATCGGTCCGAGCTATATAGAATGTAATCATTGTGTCCGATTCTAATGTAAGTTCGCTACTGAATTAAGATTATTACCCGGATATTGTGCAAAACGCACACAAATGAATAACATCTTTAAATAAAAAAATGAAATCAGATATAATGGAACCAAATACAGAAATTGTAACAAACAACTGTTTTGTCCCTTAAGGACTGGTCAGTGATGCTAAGGGCCTAAACACCTAAACGGATATACAGAAGAGATAGGATAAGTTTATTTCCGGTTCAGGACTTATATGCAAGACCTCTATACCAGACGAAAAAAAAAAGAAAGAAAAACGGCAAACAGCAACAAATATTGACCATATAAATAATAAATTTTGTCCGAGTTAAAATCTATACATTTGTCGATATAAGATTTTGCAAAACGGACCTCAGGTCTGTTTTTCATTATTGTTAATTTTTGTGAGACTGGTAGAGCGAAAATATAATTTTCGAAACGGGTTTCAAATTGTCATATGAAACAAAAATGAATAATTCTTTACCACAAAGCCCAGAAAAGTTACGCCTCGAGAGAAGTTTATGTCGATTATGTGACAAATAAACAGGGAAAAAGTAGTTACAGGACTAGTGTCGTGTACCTTTCTTTATACCTGGCTGATTTGTGCCATTTCGTTGTCTCCGAGAATCAAAAAATCTAAATTCTCGTTTTTTTCGTGTTTCGCCCCTAAAAGACGAAAATGAACGAACCTGAATTCTCATCTTTTCGGGACAAAAAAAAAAAAAAAAAAAAAAGCGAAAGGTTGGGATGAATGGTTTGTTAATTGTCATCTTTTAGAGTAAAGACAAGAATTTAGATTGGAAGTATAACACAGACCAGTCACAGTCATATTGTTTCAGGATAAAATAGTAAGACGAAACTTTGTATCATTAATCATTTTACTTGCCGTTAATCGGTTCGATTGATTTAACCGAACACCCCTACTCTTAATGATTATATAGAGGTTACACAACGAGTGTTGTAGTATTTGGTGTCTCTTTCACTCGCATTAATTATTTTTGAAACGTAAGAAAAACTAAAAAAAAAAAAAACCCAAAAACCTGAAATTTACCGGAATAGAAAGTCTATTCCGAAGTTGAATTGAGCTATTCTGTACCGATGTGTATTTTGTTTATGTCATCAGTTGGGGCGTAAGAATAGACGCCAAGCTTATTAATATGCAATATTGTCAATTTCAGAAATATGTGTAGAGACCCCATTGGAAATAAGCCTATTTTATAGGCTTTATGGGTAATCCAAGGCCAAAGGCATTTTCATCTGGTTTTATCAAATTTCTCTCTTTTTTATTGATATTTCTAAAATTTTCAACTATTTTTACTTAGAAGATTTGCAAGCACAGTGTGATTTAATTTCTGCGATACTAGTTTAAACTGTGATATTTTAAGGTATGTGAAATTCTTCTGTGAGATCTTATATTTTATAATTAATAATTTTAAGAAATCCACAATAATTTATTACTGATTTTAATTGTTATTGAATTGCTTATGTAATGTGATATTTGTAATTTTATTATGCCTTTGCCTGAATAAACATAATAATAATAATGACTGTAACTCATTATAAATCATAACTAGATATAAATTGTTTCGTTATCCCCAAGGAAAAAAATACATAAATCACATCGAAATCATTTTTTTTTTTTTTACAAAATCATCTGTGAACTACATCTACTAATTACGCGTTTTCCGTGAGTGCGTGAATTTCCCTTTCGGTCAAAGTTCATCCTGTTAACCATTCAAAACATTCTTAAAAATTATATGACATAGCATATTTGTTTACACAACATAATCTTTGTGGAATAATGCTGGACGAGGGAGTGGCTAAGACCACACATAAGCTTTCATTGGTTCAAGGAATTTTGAAAATGCATGAATAAGAGCTGTACTTTTTTTGCTTGATTTTGAGAATAAGCGATAAATAATTGAAATATTCTTAAACTGACGACAGACATTTCCGAAAAAAATACGTCAGTTGAAAATGTTTAACTTTTAGTTCAACTTTCTTGAAATATTGCTATGAAATCCTAATGTATATATACATATTCTTATACATTAGTCAAAGGTCAAGTTTATTTATAATTAGTTATGTCACTATTGAAATGAATCAGAACATGGTATGTGGTATGTAGGGACTCGAATACACTAGAAATGTCTTATTTTTGTAATCTCACAAAATTATACAAAATCCGTTCTAGTGAATGACACATTAACAAATACTAATTTAGAACCAAACACATAATATAAAAAATCTGAAATATTTGTTACAGGAAAATAAGAATATCAAATATCAATAAATGACTTAACGAATAAACACGTAAATATACAAATAAATAGACAAAACGCATTAATATATGGCCAGAAGCTGTTTTATTGTATTGTAAGCAGTAACTCACCATTTCGGCCGAGAACTCGATAGTACACAGAGTTTAGAAAACTGGAAGTTGGTTTTTGGTCTTCAAGTCTAGTGGTGTATGGCATGTCTGTTTCTTCCTTATTATACATAGGGTCCAACAATTGACCCTCCTCTTTAAAAGGACCGTAAGACATCTCCGTTCTCGGCTCTGTGACCAACGAGTCTCCTGACCAAGGTTCAGATCGATATATAGGTCGCCGTTTACCAATTCTAGGGAAATCATTTTGTTTACTGTCAGTGTAGAATAACGCTTTGCTCAGCTGTATGAAAGCAAAGGTGGTTAGGAGAGCTAGGATTGAACGAAGGGACATCTTAAATTGGACACCTGTAAAAAAAGGATATAGAAGATAGAAAAATAGATACTTGCATTCCAAATATTTCAAAGTGATCGATAAAGTCACTGTTTAGCAAATTATACCTTTCGCGAGTACACGGACGTATAATGAATGTGTACTCTTAAAATTGCATGTGATATACATTTACACGTGCTGGGTATACAGTATATTAAAACTACAACGCATAAACACTCATGTGATTGTAATAATTTTCTTCTTAATACCCTTTTCACACATAGAATTTAAGTGATAAAATAGTTCACTTTACTGCTTGTTTGGTGAAGAGAGACCAGTCACAGGTACTAACCTCGTCTGTCAAAACGCCTATTATATATTAAGGGGGCTAGTGACATTTATTATTGTTCATTTTAGTAAGTAAAAGGATGCAGTTCGAAATCCCATTTCGAGATGAGTTTACATTGTCCCCCGATTCCAGAATTATGTTTACCTACGATATAAAACAAGGTATGTTCTATGTTCATCAGTATGCATGTTGTTTTCGTTTTTGTTCTTACTTGTGAATGTGACATTACTTTCTTGGACCGACCAAAATTACATTTGGATGTCGTCGATGCAGTAGAAGATGCCTACCCTTCCGGAACACTGTCTTATACTTCTTATTAAAGTTTCTTTCCAGTTAATTTTCGTTCTGTTGATTTTAAGTTGTATTAAGATGGTGTTTATCTATTTATATTTTTATTGTTATATTTCAGATACTTTTTCAAGATTATCTATCATGTGTGAAATTATACCGATATCTACTTTTTGATATCAATTTTTAAAATTTAGTTTTCAAATATTCGTATTTCATTCACTTCTTAGAAAAAAAGAAAAGAAAAGTAAATGAAATCATGAATCCATCAGTAATAAAAGATGCGATGTGTTTATTCATTTACTAATCAATCAATGGTATTTGTAAGAAGGAACCAGTAGCGAATACATTAGCTTTCTCAGTAGTAATTCTGCCTGTTGATTGATTTTAAATAACTTCGTCGACGAAATAATTGATAAAAAATCATTACTGTGAAGATTTATGGAAATCCTGATACATTTTAAACTAACCAGTTTTTATACTCTTAGTTTTAACTTGACATGAACAATGAGCCAATCAGAGACAGGGATTAAGTCCACGTAATCTGTTACTGTTGGATGTCGAAAAAAAATTATTTTTATTAGACAGTACAGAGAACTGATAATCCAAAACCTCAATTTTGTCAGGATCAAATTCATAATCTGGATGTGTTGTTTTCATGTCTAGTGTCCACTTTTGAACCGTGAACTCAGTAGGAGCTTTCCCGCTCAGCAGTAGTCCCCGGAAGTACGTGTCACAGGTGATTAGTTTGATCGTAATCTCCTATGAACGGGAAATATGACTTGAACGCGTATTGCGTAACCGAACCAAATGGTGACTCCAAAACGAACGCGCAAAGAAGTGTACATTGTTTTACATAAGTGTGTGGGCTACCGATGATTCCCAAGAGACCTCCGTTGTAGACATATATATACTTCCACTGAGGTAACCGCGCGCGGCCTCACGTCTAGGTGGACACATTTATCATGGCTATGTAGGTACTGGACGATAGTATATATACACGAGAGTATTTCTGAAATGCTTTATCTTGCTGTATCTACAATGCAATTAATGTCGACATAATTTGCGTTTTATTCTTGTGACCGGCAGGTTCACACTTTCACTTAAACAGAGATGTGACAAATCATTTTAGTATCTCTCACACGGAATCAACAAATACATACTATGTTACTGCTCTCCTCTGTCGATATCGGATAAATGTACAAAATGTTTTTTTCGATTTACGAGAGATCCAACACTTCTAGTTAAAAAATACTCCATCCCCTCCCTTCCCACCCACACACACACAAAATTTAAAGGTCGACGGTCTTAATTAACAGTGAGTAATTTACTTCATAAATCTTTCCCTCCGTCTCTTCATAAATGAAATATTCCGGAGTAAACGGAGGATTCAAAAAGACACTAAGCTACTTAATGCTAGGGAAAGCCTTCTGAAAGTCTGTTATACACTGGGAGAGGTGCGTCGATTTCTCCTTGGTGTGTGTTTAGTCTGTATGTATAGCGACAAGTATGGTGATTAAGAGAACAGTAATATCTATTTGTCAAACTTAAGGTGGCGTTCACAATGTTTCCTCCTTCTTCCCAACGGATGTATAACTGCTAATGTTTTGTACAGATAACAGTTTATCCACTGTCTGCTCCACATAGCATCCTCTTTTATCTTATAAAGAGTTATATACATCTAAAGATATCTAAATGACGAGGTTTTCATCTCCTTAAGACTCACAAATTGACGATAATACCATCCTTGAACCATTTATTGTAAAATCAGTGCGATTGTGAGAGCACCATATAATTGTCAACAGGTTTAAAGTGCTCCATTTATAAAAATATCAAAAGATTTTATTGAAAAAAAATCATTTTATCACAACATCTTATACCAGACAGTAAAGTTTGATGTGTTCAAGATTTCACAGTTTTATTAAAAGCTTGATGAAAAAAAGGGATGTTTTATTCGGAGAGTCAGAATAAGGTTATGGTTTATTCTTCTTGTCTTAGTTTCAATGTGTCTTATTTTTCATTTTTTAAATAGCGAAACATAAAACCTATCGATAATAATGGCCACAACAGCGTCTGGTAGGGTACAGTAACTTACCACTGCACTATTCATTGTGATTTTAGGGAAACAAATTCCAAACGAAACTATTGTAAAGAGTGGAATTTTTGGCGACAGAATGAAATCGCGAAAAAACAGGTACTTGAGAAATGACATATCAACGTTATAAAATCACATTTGAAAAATTTTCGTGGGAAATACGTCTCTTTTTTCCTCCGAAGTATCTCTAAAACTGCAAAATTCCCTTCTCATTAAAAAACAATTTTGCAGCGTGAATACGCAGGAAAAATTATCGAGCACACGTGCGTACCATTCATAATAGGGTCAATAGGCAAGTTTGACATTGGTACAAATATGCTTGTAGTCTCCTTAACTGATTTTCTGTACCGAAGTAGTACACAGAGAACTCTTGTTGGGTTAAAGACCTGTGTGATGCCATGACCACGTTTTATACCCAAGTTAAAGTATTTAATGAAAGAAGCATTTGGTCTCTCATTTCGTCATGTTCAATATTTTTCTTGTTCTTTCCTGAACTATTCTCTGACAGAATTATGGTAATCTGTATATGTTTTTTTTCGGTATTCAACATTAACTTTCGGATGTGAGCAGATTCTGTCCGTGTGTGTCTTTTTTATTTCTTTAGTATAGAAATAGAATGAGAGGGAGGGAGAGTGCTATTGAAGATGACAATAGACATCACTACATTGACTTGAATATAAAACTGGTTGTACCGTACGTAACATGTGTATACACCAGTAAATTTAATACACCACGTCCGAATGAGCAAATGTATGATAACTGCATCATTGACAAAAGTATTCGCTAAGTATATGACACAGGCCTCGGGGACCTTTCGGATCTTAAAGCACATAATCTCATGTCATCTTCTAAAGTTCAACAAATAACAACAAATGTATGCTTAATTTGGTTTACTGCGAAATTCTGTTCTTTCTGCAACGGTTTTTTCCCTGATTTGCAATACTAGATAATTTCAAAAAGAGGTCAAAGGCCAAGTCTATTTATAATTAGTTATGTCACTATTGAAATGAATCAGAGTATGGTATGTAGTATGTAGGGACTCGAATCCACTAGAAATGTCTTATTTTTGTAATCTCACAAAATTATATAAAAGCCGTTCTAGTGAATGACACATTAACAAATACAAATTTAGAACCAGATACATAATTTCAAAAACTATTTAAATGGGTCATAAAGCAGTTTCCCACTTTCAAAAATCTATTTTATAAACACCTGAAGAAATATCTCCAATAACACATTATTTCCGATGTCGTTACCGTTTACCTGTCCTACTGAGTATGAAATACACCTTATTTGAATGTATAATAACAGACATAATTATAACATGCTAAATGCTTTCACTCAACAACCGAAACGTCCAAAACATATTACAGTTCCTTAAAACGATCTGAAATGTAAGATTCGATACATATACAGACAACATTTACTAATTTGTTTCACATTCACACCACGTTCACGTTCACACCGATAGATAGCATATTCTTAGTAGATTTCATAACATTAACAAAGAAACATTTGATCCAGACCAGGATTGCATGCTGATCGTCACCTTCTGATCAATACACTTACCATAGGGAGTTCAGTCATTTGATTTTAAATGAATCTAAATGTGACATGAATATAATGTACATAATAACGTTTGTTTCCGTTTATGAAATGCCTCGTATTCATTTGAAATGTATGAAAAAATATTTGAACACTATATTTTCTCCTCGAAGACATTTATTTCCCTTACGTCTTCGGTTAAGAGTAATAGAAAAAAAAACTATTGCCAGTCACATAAGGTATAAACATCACTGTGATGGTTAAATGATGTTAAATGGCACACGTGGCACATCACTTGTATTGCAGGCATTACCGCAGTGTTCTGAATCGTTTTAAGACCAATATTGACGACACGCTTAAAAGCAGCTTGTACTTTTCCGGTAAGTACAAACGTATAATAAACACATTTTTTTCTGTTGATTTTATGATGCCTCTATGTCACCTCTCTGTGACTGCGAAAATATCAACATCAAAGGATTACTGGTACATAATTTAATTCAATAATACAAATATTTATAACCATAATCTTTGACGGAATGGTCTCAAACTAACGTTTTATGACATAGCATATCATTATTATAGTTCCTGAAGTCACTGCATCAAAACGCCGTAGTCTACTGAAGTACCAATATGGCATCTATAGATTTTCACCGTCACAATCGTCACAAGGGAAATCGAAATTGTGAACCATGATTTAAATGCATTTCCTCAACGCTAAATGTCAAATGAAATGTCGGTGTTAAA